ACCAGGGGCTGCACCTAGGGATTGGGCCTGCCCTCTGCCACCCGGGAGCAGGCCTAAGCCAGCAGGTCGTTATCTCCCGAGGGGTCCCAGACTGCGAGAGGGCACAGGGCGGGCTGAGGGCCCCCTCCCTTCCCCCCCGAGTGCACAGATTTTTGTGCACCGGGCCTCTAGTCCTATATAATAAAAGCCTAATATGCTAAGTGTCCAGTGGCCCGGTTGACTGTTCAATCAAAGTGTAATATGCTAGTGATATGCTAAGGCCTCTCAACCGCTTGCTATGACCTGAACTTAAAACCAGGGGGCAGACAGTCGACTGGTCAACCAGTTGCTATGACAGGCACTGACCACCAAGGGGCAGACGCTCCGACCAGTAAGTTAGCTTGCTGCTGGGGTCCAGCCAATCAGGACCGAGTGAGATGGGCCAGACATGCCCTGGAGCCCTCCGCAGTCCCTCCTTGGCTGGCCAACCTCCCACATCCCTCCCCAGCCCTAATTATGCACCGGTGGGGTCCCTCGGCCTGGCCTGTGCCCTTTCCCAATCTGGGACCCCTCAGGGGATGTCGGAGAGCCAGTTTCAGCCCGATTCTGCAGGCCAGGCCAAGGGACAACACTGGTGCATGAATTCGTGCACCGGGCCTCTAGTCGTATATAATAAAAGCCTAGGTGGCATCAAGTGATGTCGTCACAAGATGGCCGCCACCACATCATCACAATGATGGCCGCCCCACGTCATCACAAGATGGCCACCCCCATGTTATCACAAGATGGCTGCCACAATATGGCCACCCCCCACATCATCACAAGATGGCCGCCATAAGATGGTTACCCCCACGTTGTCACAAGATGGTCACTACAAGATTCTGCCACAAGATGATCACCACAAGATGGCTGGCAGGGGAGGGCAGTTGGGCGCGACCAGGCCAGCAGGGGAGCAGTTAGGTTAGGAGCCAGTGGTCCCAGATTGTGAGGGGTTTGTCCCTGCAGGATCAGGCCTAAACCAGTAGTCAGACTTCCCCTGAGGGGTCCCAGATTGGACAGGGTGCAGGCCGGGCTGAGGGACAACCCCTCCCCCCAGGGTACGAATTTCATGCACCGGGCCTCCAGTACTATTATAGGAACCTAGTTGTGGGAATAATGGATTTTAGGTGAAGGAGTACTAGAAGTCCAATCAAGGAGATACCATATTGTTTAGGTCATAAAGAACAAGAGACAGGTTCACTTGACAGAGAAATAAATAAATAAATAAATAAATAAATAAATAAATAAATAATAAATTCAAAAAACCTCTTGCAGGCAGAGGAATGCGTAACATAATCAATGCACCTAACAGCATGATGTATATTCAGTAGTGTAAAGATTCCAGGAAAACTGAAATACAGCATGTGGTATGAAATCAGTGAAGCTGCTTGAAGGCCAATGGTGAAGCCTTGTGGTGTAGGGAGGAGGTAGACTTGTGTTTCCTAAACAGGGCTGTGCATCAGAATTACCCAGGGTAGGACAGAGCATGGGGGCTGTGTTCTAATCTAAACCACCTACTTCCAGGTTGTACCCTGTATCTCTCAAGCCAGAATCTTCAATCTGGAGTCCAGAAATTTTTATTTATTTATTTATTTATTTAATATTTTTATTGATTTCACAGAGGAAATAAGAAGGAGAGAGAGTTAGAAACATCAATGATGAGAGAGAATCTTTGATCTGCTGCCTCTTGAACACCCCCTACTGGGGATCGAGCCCACAACCCAGGCATATGCCCTGAGCAGGAATCAAAACATGACCGCCTGGTTCATCCGGCATCATCTGGAATGCTCAACCACTGAGCCATGCTGACCAGGTGAGAAATCTTTATTTTTTAAACAACTCATCTAAGTGATTTGGATAAAATTAGACCAGCACTCTTAGAATTCACTGGTAACAGACTTAATCCTAAAGGTACTGAAAGAATCTTTAATTAAAGATTTTTTAATTACAAAAAAGGTAACATGACTAGATGTTGCAATGTATCTGTGAAGGCTAAGCAGAAGCTTCCAAAATATTAATTAGTTAAGTGGCTGTCCTTATCCTTAGGTCTAAGGCAGCTGCCAGGAGGAATGGCAGCCTATACAGCTGTGTAAGTTGAACTCTGCACAACTCCAGGAGGGGACATTCCCCATCGATGACAATATGAATGACACCCCATGAACTTGTACAGTGCACATTCCTATATACTAACATATACAGCCATTCTGCCAGAAGGGAATTGGGCCAGGAAAGAAATCTTAGTCTTTATATTCTTAGAATGTCTGGAACATTTCTTCTAATTTCATGAATAGAATATGGAAAAACCTGCAATGCAGGTAGATGGAAAAAGAAGAGAATTTAAAAATAAGTCCTACATACATGGGGACTATAGGAAAAGTGTTGGGGTGGGGTTGGGGAAGGGCGTTCTGTGGTAGAATGACTATGCATTCTGCTATTTAGAAATATGTCTAAAGGGCTCATAATTCAGTGACTTTCCTTCACTCATTTAAACTGATCCCTGAGGGACCTATGTATCCCAAAGGTCTATAACCTGAGTATATGCCTGAGAATCTGGAAGAGGGGAGCTGCCTCCTAATGCCTTTACCTAGGGTAACCTCGTAGGTTAGTAGAGACGGGAGACCATGTGCTGGTCATCAAACCAAGGAGATATTGAATCCCATTCATTCCTTAGCATCCCTAAATATATTTTATTTATATGTTCAATCCACATACCTTATCAAAAATAATAACCACAAGTGGGCAATTTAGTAAAAACTTAATATATAAGATCTTATTGAGAAATACCTTCTGGTTTATTTTCATTGTTGTTGATCTACCCCAAAATAAAAGAATTTTTTTTCTTCCCCTAGGATGGAGACAAGCATTTTTATTCCTAAGGCTTTGTTTCTCCATTTCTCTATATCATCTATGAATTAACTACAGTTAAATCTTGAACAATGCTGGAGTTAGGGGCACCAACCCCTGCACAGTCAAAATTTGAATATAATTATTGACTCTTTAAAAACTTAAATAATAATAGCCTACAGTTGACTGGAAACTTACCAACAATATAAATAATAGATGAACACATATTTTGTATGTTATATATATCATATATTATATATTATATCTTACTAGAGGCCCGGTGCACGAAATTTGTGCACTTGGGGGGGGTCCCTCAGCCCGGCCTGCGCCCTCTCGCAGTCAGAGAGCCCTCAGAGGATGTCCAACTGAAGGCTTAGGCCCACTCCTCACGTCATAGTGACCGGTCGTTCTGCCATCAGGCCAAAAACGGCTCTCTGACATCCCCCGAGGGGTCCCAAATTGCAAGAAGGCGCAGGCCAGGCCAAGGGACCCACTGGTGCACGATCAGGGCTGGGGAGGGATGTAGGAGGTTGGCCAGCTGGGGAGGGACTGCAGGAGGGCTCCAGGGCATGTCCAGCCCATCTCACTCAGTCCCAATCGGCCAGACCCCAGCAGCAAGCTAACCTACCGGTCAGAGTGTCTGCCCCCTGGTGGTCAGGGCACATCATAGCAAGTGGTTGAGTGGCCTTAGCATATCATTAGCATATTACACTTTGATTGGTTGAACGGCCGACCAGGCGACCAAACACTTAGCATATTAGGCTTTTATTATATAGGACTAGAGGCCCAGTGCATGAAATTCTTGCACTGGGGGGGCGGATCCCTCAGACCGACCTGCACCCTCTTGCAATCCGGGACCCCCTTGGGGGATGTCCGACTGCCCCCTGAGGGATCAGCCTAAACCAGCAGTTGGACTTCCCTTTCACAATCCAGGACCGCTGACTCCTAACCGCTCACCTGCCCGCCTGATTGCCCCTAACTACTCTGCCTGCCTGCCTGATCTTCCCTAACTGCTCACCTGCCTGCCTGATTACCCCTAACCACTCGCCTGCCTGCCTGATTGCCCCTAACTGCTCGCCTGCCTGCCT